AAGTCCCGGGCCTTAACCCCTCACCCCAAAAAAATTCTACTAGCATTTTTGTCGCCTTCAAAAAGAATTACCCATATTATTAATCAATTTTTTTGATCGGGCGTTACTTTTTAATAATGCCACCTCCAAAATCAAGGAAAGCCTCCGGGCCGGGAAGAGCAATTATAAGGGATAGATTTAAAGAAAGTTCTAGACCAAAGGATAGGGATACAATTTTGGTATGTAAACTTGTATGGTTTTTATTCTCTATGAATACATTGATTAAATTAAATTGTTTTGCTTTGTAACAAGCATACGACAGAGTTAAATGACGGTGCTGGTTGGACAAAGTTACAATCGATAACTCAACAGAGAGATTTAGATGAATTCTTGGCTAATGCTCAATTGGCAGGGACACAATTCACCGCCGGTACTTACCAGCCAGTGAACGTTTAAAATCAAAAAAAAAAAAAGAAATATTAACATACTATTTCAACCATAATATTAAGAAAAATTGAATATCAAAGTAGTTACAAATAGCTACCACAACCCTTTCCTTCTAAGTGCAGACAAGGAAAAAGAAACATTGGAAAGACACGAAGCCAACAAAGAAAGACTCGTGATCCCCAGGAGACCAAACTGGGATAAGTTTACTACGCCTATGCAATTGGAAATCAATGAAAAAAATTCTTTTCTACAATGGAGACGAGATCTCGCACAGTAAGTATTCCTTTGAACTGAATTCTTAACATGTGATAAAATATTATTCATTATTTTATTTTATAGCCTTCAGGAACATGATGAATTCCTCCTGACGCCATTTGAACGTAATTTAGAAGTATGGCGGCAATTATGGCGCGTTATTGAACGTTCAGATTTGGTTGTACAAATTGTTGACGCCAGAAATCCTTTATTCTTCCGATCTACTGATTTGGAAAAATATGTGAAAGAAGTAAGTGATAAAAAGAAAAACTTATTACTTATTAACAAGGCAGATTTGCTGACTACTCACCAAAGGTAATAAATAATACGCGTCTTGGTTTTATTTGACCTTTTGAGTCAATTTTGATAAGTCTTTATGAACTTTGAATTCGAATAGACTTATTTGGGCAGATTATTTTAAATCACAAGGAATCAAATATATATTCTTTTCTGCTACGTTGGCTCATAAAAAGCTTGAGCGAGAAGTGATTGATAAAATTAATTATTCTACAGTTTCTAATAATTCCGGTGCTGAAAAGGTAAGTCAATCTTAAATTTGGCGTCATGCTTTCTAAGAATCATGTGGATAATAAAATTTAAACTTCAGAAACAGGAAATTGAGGAATTATTATTTAGTGATTTATGTTCAAATAATAAAACTTTGACCAGTATTGATGAATCAGGAGTATGCGAAGAAATTACAGATTTGGGAATAAATGACAAAAATTCCGGAGAAATTATTCACAAGGAGAATAATAATATTAATAATGATCAGAATGATGAAACATCATTATATTTGGATACTTCTGGATCTGTTTCTGACGATGAAGATTCAAATGATCCTCGAGTCCGTATAAATACGGCAGATGATTTAATATCACTATTGGCGATGGAGGCTGGTGAAATTGAAGGTACTAATGTAATATATAATTAATTCTGCGCTTTTTTCAATAATTTGGAAACTCATATGTTTTATATTTAAGAATCACCTGATCCAGATCGGAAGCTAATGATAGGTTTAGTTGGATATCCAAATGTTGGCAAATCCTCCACAATAAATGCGCTTCTTGGAGAAAAGCGAGTATCGGTTTCATCGACTCCTGGAAAAACAAAGCATTTCCAAACAATACATATTTCCCCTTTATTAGTCTTATGTGATTGTCCTGGATTGGTTTTTCCAAATTTTGCGACGACGAATGGCGATATGGTTTGTAATGGAGTCTTACCGATTGATCAATTAAGAGAATATACTGGACCTGTCGCTTTAATTACTCAAAGAATACCCAAATATGTGCTTGAAACTATATATGGGATAAAAATTAAAATCAAATCGATGGAAGAAGGGGGCACTGGCACTCCCACAGCAGAGGAATTATTGGTGGCCTATGCAAGTGAGTTTTTTTTTCTTATCTCAAAAATCTCCAATCTTTTTATTTTAAGAATGTCTTTATATCATTTCACTAGCCGCTCGAGGGTTTACCAAATCAGGGCACGGTAATCTTGACGAGTCGAGAGCAGCAAGATATATTTTGAAGGATTATGTAAATGTGCGTAGTATTGGTTGATTTCATTTATTTATCGGATATAAGTATTTATCCTTATATACTTTCTGCAGGGAAAACTTCTTTTTTGTCACCCACCACCCACTGGAATATCAAAAGAGGAATTCAATGCCGAGACTCATGATCTAAAGTTATATACCAAAAAAAAAAAGTTGGTTTCTATAGTTGATGACAAGATTATCAAAGATACTGGAGATTCATTATCAGTTAACGCTCCTAGTTCCGGTAGCAAATCGGAAGCACTAGACAAATCATTTTTCAGTAATAATAAACAGTTTTCCGGACCAAAGATTACGGGTAAATTTGCATCTTCTGGAGAATTCAGTAGGGTAAAAATATATCCAATTAATTCAACCGAGGGTATTAGGAATCAAATGATAAGTAAGAAAAGCCAT